AAACTTGCTCGCATGATTAAATCACTAAAATAACTCCTAGAACTACGAATCAGACACCAAATCAAAGGAAATTTTCAAGAAAACTTTAAAACTTATATTTTTACAACCGGACATCCGAATCACATCAAATCAACTCCGATTCTCACCAAATTCGGCAGACAAGTTATAAATATTATAGTGGACATATACCGGGCTCCGAAACCAAAATACGGACTCGAGGTCAATAAATCCAACATCAGAAATTTCTTAAAAATCATTAATCTTTCAAACTTTTAATTTTTCATAAAAATTCCATATCTTGGATTAGGGACCTCGGAATTCGTTTTCGGGCATACGCTCAAGTCCCAAATCACGATACGGACCTACCAGAATTGTCAAAATACTTATCCGGGTCTGTTTCCTAAAAATGTTGACCAAAGTCAACTCAATTGAGTTTTAAAGCTCTATTTCACATTTTAATCCGTTTTTCACATGAAAACTTTCCAGAAAATTTTTCGGACTGCGCACGCAAGTCGAGGAATGATAAATGATGTTTTCGAGGTCTTAGAATACAAAATTACTTATTAAATTTAAAGATGACATTTTGGGTCATCACATTGAGTCATAAGCTCTACACGAATAACTGAATCAATCCCTAATACATCAGTGTCTAAGTAAAGAGTAAGCAATAGAAAACAAGAACAGAGGGTGACTTCGAAGCATGCGGACACCGACAAGTATACCTTGAAGTCTCTGATCTGAATGCGCTACTCACTAGTGCCTAGCCTAATATGAGGTACATGAATCTGCACAAAAAGATGTGCAGAAGCGTAGTATGAGTACACCACAACGATACCAAGTAAGTATCAAGCCTAACCTCGGTAGAGTAGTGACGAGGTCAGGTCAAGACACTTACTGGAATAAATAAAGAAGCTGAACAGGTATGGTACAGTATAATAATGAAAATAAAGGAATGATACAATGAAGGAATACAACAACAAGATATGCTACATTTAAATTAAGGCAATAAAGGTATCAAGGGAGGAACACATAATAAGAACACCAAGTAAACGATGCAGACAAACACAAGTGATGTAGATAAAAGATAACAACAAGAATCACGTCCGAGATACCGCCGCGTATCTCATTTCACAATCACAATCACAATCTTTCCTTATATCATCGTAAGAGCCTTACATTTAGTTTAGAAAAATTATTTTTTTCGAAATAACTACCCGCGTTTTAGCCCACTTTATCACACCATATGGCTTCAAGTAGTTCCCCTACTAGCAACACGCGTATCAATCACACCTTATATCACCGCATGCGTATCAAACTGTATCCTTATATCACCGCATGCGTATCAATATCACAACTCGTACCTCAAGTAACCAAATACCACAACTTGCCAAAAGAATCAACAATAACAATGTTTCCACAACAAATAGCCCATGGCTCAACCACAATGTGTACAAAAGTCTCGACAATAGCAACTGAAAGTGAATAACTCAACAAGAATGGTATTTTAATAATTTACAACTTTGCCACAATGTGATCACGACTTTTACAACTTTAACACAAAAATTCAACAGTAAGATATTCCCAGAAATAACAACTTAAAGTAAGGTAACTCAACAATCAAATAATTAACAAGTCAATAAGGAAACAGTAACTTCAACTAAACATGTAAAGGCAAATAACAAGTAAGAGATGGGACAAGTATTAACAATATCAAATAAAGCATATAAGGATGGATTAACGATGATGGATATAACATGTTATGACAATTCCATTAAAGGCATGAAAAGAATCTACATAGCTTAAACCAGTCAATTACCATATATAGCCTGTGTACCCATTCGTCACCTTGCGTACACGACTTTCAAGTATCACAAATGACACAAAAGAAGTCCAATCCTAAGGAGAAATTTCTCTACACAAAGTTAGACAAGATACTTACTTCAAATACGCTAACTCATTCCACTAGTAAGTCTTTTCTGCGAATATCCAACTCTGAAGCTCGAATCTAGCCAAAATAACATTATACCATATATACAAATCATAGGAAGCTATTCCGGATAATAAAGTTGCAATCTTTAAAGAAAATAAAAAATTCAACTCTAGGCCCACATCTTGGAACCCGACCAAACCTACAAAATCCGAACACCCATTCAATAACGAGTCCAACCATACCAAAATTATTCAATTTCAACCTCAAATCGACCTACAAATCCTCAAAATATAGCTTATGAAGTTTTCACAAATTTTTCCAACTCAAAACACTAATTAAATAATAAAACAATAATGATGGATTTATGTATAATAATCAAATCCGAGTTAAAATTATTTACCCGATCAACTCGAAAATCTCTCCCAAAATCTCCCAAAACCGAGTTCTCTAACTCAAAAGATGAAGAATAGGAACAAACCCTCGATCTGCCCCATTTCTGCCCAGTGGTTCCGTCTGCGGACAGTTAGCCGCTTTTGCGGCTCCGCACCTGCAGAAAGTCCATCGCATGTGCGGCTTTAACTTAAGCCATGGACTTCTGCATCAGCGGCAAGAGATGCTCATGCGATCACGCTTCTGCGGATCATTGACCGCTCATGCAGCGCATGACCGCACCTGCGGTACAATACCAACGGCCCAGATTCCGCATTTACGGTGCCTTCTCTGCTTTCGCGGATGCGCATCTGTGCGCCACACTCCGCTCATGTGGAGCCAATGCTCTTGCCTAAATCTCGATTCTGCGGCTCTGAGGCCGCATTTGTGGTGCTGCACCTGCGGCGCAAAGTGCAAATGTGTGATTGGACCAGCCTCAGCAGTGTTTCAACAATCAACCAAGTACAAAATGGTTCTGGATTCAATCTGAATCACATCCGGGGACCCTCGGGACCCCGTCCAAATATACCATCAAGTTTCAAAATACATAGCGAACATACTCAAGGCCTAAAATTACATCAAACAACATCGATTCTATAAATCGTAACCCAATTAAACCTATTGAAATCATGAACATCCAACTTCCAAAACTAACGCCGATTCATACCAAACCAACTTTGTTCGACCTCAAATTTTGCACACAAGTCACAAATGACATAACGGATCTTCCGAAATCGGAACCCAACCCCGATATCAATAAAGTCAACTCTCAGTCAAACTTCTCAATCTTCCAAACCTTCAACTTTTTAACTTTCGCCAATTCAAGTCAAAACGACTTATGGACCTCTAAATCAATATCCGAACACGTTCCTAAGTCCAAAATCACCATACGAAGCTATCAGAACCGTCAAAATTCTATTCCGGAGTCGTCTACACAAAAGTCAAACTCCGATCAACTCTTTAAACTTATGCTTCCAACTTTGGGACTAAGTATTCCAATTCATTCTAAACCTCACCCGGAACCAAACCAACCACCCCGCCAAGTCACATAACCACAATATAACATTGAAGAGATAATAAATAGAAAAACAGGGCTAAAATACTCAAAACGATTGGCCGAATCGTTACACTTGGCCAAACAGACTATAAATTTAAAATGCATCTTATACTTTTAAGACGTGAAGACAAACTTTTCTTTATGTAACTCAATCACTACACTATTAAAGCATGTCCTTCTCCAAAGTTATTTTAATCTGGCATTTAAAATTCACTAGTTCATCTAATTCAGATTTATCATATAAGATCTATTAAAAGAGAGAAAGGCGCTCCTTACCAGAAATCTTTCCTTTCATTCAAAGTTCTGCAAATTAATTAAGAAGTATTATTACCAATAATTTTTACGTAGTAAAATTCATGGATATGTCCATAAAAGTGGCAAAGACAGAATTAGAAAAGCAAAAAGTACGAAAAAAAAAATATTATATACAATACTCCCTTCGCTCCAGTTTATGGAACCTATTTTTTTTTAGTCCGTTCCAAAAAGAATGACCCCTTTTTTAATTTGGAAATAATTTAGCTTAAACTTACAACTCTACCCTTAATGAGAAGCTTTTATAACCACACAAATACTCTATGCCCCTTTTTTACTTGTTTAGGACCACACATTTCAAAAGTCTTCATTTATTTTCTTAAATTTCGTGCCCGTCAAACATGTTCACATGAATTAGAACGGATGGAGTATAATTTGTCATTAATTGCACAACATGGGTATGCAGTTTGCAATAGGAAGGATTGTTACGTCAACGTATCTCTTAGATTTAAGAACTGGTCCATTACACAAAAATGGGAGATGTTAGGCAATTGATCTACTCGTACTCATTACGTTTGACTTTTCATCTATATATGTAACTGCGGTAAAACTCTGAATTCACTTTTGACTGCACATGGCATGGAACAGAGTTGGATATAAAAGGAAGGGTAAGGTTAATCCCTTTCTTCCTAATCTATCTAATACAAGCATCTGTCAGTACGTTCGTAAAGTAATGAAGAAATTTTTGTTTAATTTTTGTACTATAACCAGCTGTATTTAACGAAGTATTTGGACATGATTCAAATTGAAATTTGAAGAAATACATTTGAAATTATTGATGAAAAAGATTGTTTGGAAATTGTTTAACTTTATTCTCGTGCAAAAATCCTAAGTTCTGGTCAAAATTTAAAGCACAATTCGAAAATTCTTGTTATCCTGTGATAACACGAGTGTAAAATTAATAAAAATCTTCTGCCAAGAAATTGCTAATTGGTTTAAAGGTGATAAAAGGCAAAAATACTATACTTTATAGAAATGTATTATAAATTAGAAAATTTAAAATTTATTTTGAATAATTATACTTTAAACTTCTCTTTTACCTTTTACGAGAATTTTTTCATGCTATACAAATGTTATAATATTTTTCAGACCACAAATTTTTATAAATGTTATGACTTTAAAACCATAAATTTCAAAATCTTTTTTTTTTCTTAGTAACAATATTTTAATTGAGTTTAAATTATTGCCCATGTCAAAAATGCGCAAGCATGCACATACGTTAGATGAAGTTGGTACTCTTATGTCTTCTATATAACAAAAAGCAACAAGAAAACAAAAAAGTCACAGAATCAAGTAATAGTACACACATTAAAACTTATTCAGAGTTCCCATATTCTCTTCTCTTTGACATCAAACTATAAGCAAAAACAATGGAGTCACCAGTCACAGGATTAAGATGCAGAACAACAGGACCATCATTTCTAAAGCCAATAGATACAAAGAGGAAAGCCATTGAAGAGTACGATATGGTGCCTGTGGAAACAGAACCATTGAGTCCAACTGCTCGTTTGTTTCACGATCCAAATTTTAATGTCCATGTCGTTGCTATTATGGCCACAAAAACTCGGATTTCACCACATCCTGTGAAGGAGAAGTTGGAGCATACTTTGCTTAAGCATCCTCGTTTCACTAGCTTGCTGGTATGTTCCTTGCAACATTTAACTATATTTCCTATGTGTGTTTTGCATGTTCCCATTTACGTAAGAGTAAGTTTGTATTTGGACCTTAGATTTGGTTGAAACTTAAAAAATAAGTTTTTGAAGCTGTATTTTTGAAAGTTGAATTTGTGTTTAGATATTAATTTTATTTGAAAAAACTTTTAGAAAAAAAATCTCTCTACCTGCTGCCAACGGTCTATCTTCGGAATTATCTGAATGGGTAGATCCTCCCATCCCATTTGTTTTAGCGACTTATCCTAAGATCCTCGCCAAGAGCTCCCCGGGCGACGATAGAGGAAGCAACCTGTCTGTTGTGACGGGACGGCTTTTTTATTTCACAATAAGATCTAGACGATTATCCCTACCTTCGGTAGCTTACGAGTTTACGTCCATCCTTATTCGGGTACAGTTTCCTTTCTATTTCTCTCTTGTAGCCGTTACCCAAATTCGCACAAGATTTCACCCAAAAACTGTCCTAAATCAGATTTTGGGAATTTGAGATTTTTTTTTCAAAATTAACCATATTCCATGAACAAATTTATTTTTTTTATATTGAAATCTATGGTCGAACCATAGCTAAATGTCTCCAAAACTAGTTTTGAATGGCATACACTTCTGACTTCTAGTATTTTTTCGCAAGTTGTGGAAGGTGTTACTGGATTTCATTTCCTTACTTGATTTTGTGCTAGCTTTATTTTTTCTGTGTTGCTTTGTTTCTCTTTCCGGCCTCTCTACACTACACTCCTCAGATCCCGTTTGTGGAATTTTACGGATAGTTGTTGTTGTTTCCCTTTTGAAAAGAAACAAAAAAAAAACTTTTAAAGGGCGGGCATGATAGGCACTGATGTCTAATGTGATTGTTCCCTTAGCAGAACTAGAGACAGATTCAGAAACTTCATCACTTTTTTTAAATTATAAGTTCAAAATTTATTATTATTTATACACTTTAAATGTTCAAATTATATCATATTAATAATCTATATATACTTACAGTGTAATAAAACTTTACACTATCTTTGTAATTTACTGTTATAATCGGTCACTTACTATTTGTTTTAAATTATTATCAATATTGTTAAGTAAAGTTATCTGCAATTCTTTTTTATATGATCTGATTGTGTAATTAATAAAGTCTTACACCCTTGATGTATAAAATTTAAACTAAATAATAAATCAAGGTGACGTATAAAAGAGTCATACCTCGATCAACAGAAGATAAATGATGCCCTGTGAAATTCCTAGTAATCAGCATCTTTAAGGGTGCACGACATGTATGCTTCCTCATTTCCCAGTCCTTACGTATTGTACTAATTGGTTTTTATTTCCAATATATTGCTAAAATTAGTGGTATCTGTTTTACACCAAAATATGTCGTATTTAAAGTGCTTGTGCTTGGTACCGCAATAATTGGGTAATGCATCCTTATGTAGGTCCTTTTCTCAAAGGACTAACATATGGTTCTATATTTTGGAGTGTTTACTACATAACCAAAGTAAATCCAATTCAAAGTTGGGCCAATTTGGGCAATCATCAATCTAGTTTATCTACAAAAAATTATTAAAATTTTAATTTTTTTGGGTCTGGTTGGTTATAGAACGAAAAAGCTTAGCCAGTTTTGAGCAAATTTTTTTTATTTTATTGAGAAAATGACACTGCATAGCCGCGCTCATAATAATAGTCGAAAAATATATATTTTTTGTACGTATATACATTTGTATATTTTATATACAAAAAACATATAAATTTTATACACTTTTGCGGTTAAGAAATGTAAATAATTTTTGTCGCGGGCTAAAAATGATATTTGCCTTTTTTTATTTTCATATAAAAGAAAAAGTTTAGTTAATTTGATGTGGTGATTAAATAAATTACAAAAGAACAAAATAACAAATAAAAATAATTTTGAGTTGAGTAAGTTAGGTTATGACGCATCGTTTATCTTAAATTGACTCCCCATTTTGACCAAAGAAATTTTTTGATAGACTATGATCCAACTCATTTATTAATTCAACCTGTTTTAATCTACCGAGATGATCATAGAAGGAAGTGTGTACACATGCTGCAAGCTAAGTAAACATATACACACTTAAAATGTATACTAAGTAGTAGTAACAAATTTTATGTACAGGTTGTGGATGAAAATAATTCAGCAGGCATGAAATGGGTGCAAACAAAAGTTGATTTGGAGCAACATGTTATAGTACTAGAAGTGGACGAAGGTCAACTGACCGAATCATCAGAAAAGTTCGTGGAGGATTATATTTACAACCTTAGCAAAACCAACCTTGACAAATCGAAGCCACTTTGGGACCTTCACATTATCAATGTCAAAACTGGCGATGCAGAGTCCGTAGCATTGCTCCGAGTTCACCATTCTCTTGGTGATGGCACCTCTCTTATTTCTCTTTTACTCGCGTGTACTCGCCAAACTGCTGATCATCTCAAGCTTCCTACTATTCCAACCAAGAAACGGAGGCCTACTCCTTCAGGTTTCTTCATTACTTTAATTATGATATTTTTTTGAAGTGACATATGGTCGAGTTGGGTTATTATATCTTAGCAACTAGCAAGTCAAATCAACAAATGAGTTATAACTTTATTCAGTTTGAATAAGTTAACAAGAATTGGATCAAATCACTTGTCATATAATTCAACCTGCTCTACCTGTCATTCTTTTTTATTTTGCCTTTTCCCAAAAAAAAAAAAAAACCTTTGATTTTGTATGTTTAGGTTTGGATTGCATTTTGACTTGTCGGGTTTACCTTATTTATTCCATCTTGACCCAAATGTTTAACGGGTCATTTTGGATTCAACTTGTTGGATCAAGTAAACAAACGGATAATAACCGAACTCGTTTAAAAATTGGGCAAGTTATTAAGAAATGAATTGATTTTGCCACTTTCATTTTCTTATCTAAAATATGTACACTAACAAAAGAAATACTTTTACACTATTAGTGTCGTAAGTACTAAGGGGTCGTTTGGTAAGATGTATTAGGAAACAATAATACATATATTAGCTTTGGTATTATTAATCCCTTACTTTGGTAGTGTTTTTCAACTTATGTTTAACTAATACATGTATTAGTTATATACTCTATTTGGTATTATCCTATGTATAATTAATACATAGCAAATCATGGCATTAGTAATATCATAGTTTTAGCACATGGATAAGCATGTATATACCCCTATGCAATGCATGTTTTTTTTAATATACCAAACCAAATAGTGGATAAAAAATAATCTCACCATAACTAATCCAGCAATACTAATACACCATGTTTAGTACTATATTTATACACCTTGCCAAACGACCCCTAACAGAAAAGGAGGCCTACTCTTTCGCAGGTTATTCAGAAAAGGAAAGGTCGTTCAAGTTATGGCAGTATTTGGGAAAATTTTGGCTTTTCATCAACATGATACTCAATACTATGGTGGATCTTTTGATGTTCATAGCCACAGTCATCTTTTTTAAGGATACAAAAACTCCAATGGCGGCTCCGCCTAATTCTGCGTCTAACGGGAGACGAATAGTTCACAGGATAATCAATTTGGATGATTTGAAGTTGGTGAAAAATGCTATGAATGTGGTAAGCAATTTGGACATTATAAATGAATAAAGTTGATATATATTTGTTGTTAAAGTTAACTGATATTGTTGCATGCATTTTCTCCACAGACTATAAATGATGTTGCCCTGGGAATAACACAAGCTGGTTTATCTAAATATCTCAACAGGAGATATGGTATGTTATTTAGTCACAAATTCAATATTTAAACTTTTTGATTTAATTTTTATGTTCTCATGATGGAACCCAAACATTTCCGCAAGGTTCTAATTTTAATATTTGTTAAAATTTTAGTAACATTCACCAATTTGCTTTGTTCCATATAAAAAATATTGGGTTCAACTAAACCTGTTTATTATACGTTACATTCGTCTCTGATTTTCACAATTTTCCCGACTATTTACAGCCGTTGGTAAGGAAGATAAGGGAGCCACTGAGAGAAACAACAATCTTCCCAAGGACATTCGACTACGATCATGTCTTATTATAAACCTAAGACCCTCTGCAGGAATTGAAGTAACCTTTATTCTGTTATTGTTGTTGTTGTTATTATTATTATTATTATTATTATTATTGTGAAGTCGTATAATGACATGAATGAAACAGGATTTAGCTGATATGACGGAGAAGGGCACAAAACAAAAGGGAGGTTGGGGAAATTGGTTTGGTTATGTGCTCTTACCTTTCAAGATTGCATTGCGTGATGATCCTTTAGATTATGTTAAAGAAGCAAAGGCAACAGTAGATCGCAAAAAACGCACATTTGAAGCTTTGTTCACTCTGATGTTAGCTGAATTACTAGTCAAGATATTTGGTGCCAAGGTATATGCATATTTAAATTCAACAAAATTTAGTGAACTTCTATCCAGTGAATTCTTTTCGAGTTAATTAAAAGATAACTATATATAACTTTACACCCAGACCTCATTAGTAAAATTTTATTGTGTTGTTATTGTTATTGTTGTATATAACTTTACATAATAAGTGTAACTAATTTCTTAAAAAATAAGGCATATAACTTATCACAATCAATTAAATTACACTCATAGCATAAAAACCCTTTGAACTATCGTCAGTGTATATAAGCTTAATCCTTTAATATATGGTTGAGGTTGTATACGTTGAAAGTATAAAGAATTTTATACTATTAGTGTAATTTAATCGGCTATATATACGGGTTATTACCGTAACTTTTTAGTTACCATATCATTCTATGAAAAGTTATTAATTGTTATAAATAAATTTAACCTAATGCTGCAACTTTTATTTTTGATAGGTAGCTACACTAGTAACTGTGAGAGCATTCTCACATACAACAGTATGCTTCACCAACTTGGTTGGACCACAGGAAGAAATTGGGTTCTGTGGCAATCCCATTACTTATCTGGCTCCAGGTTCTTATGGGCAGCCAAGTGTAAGTACTGATCAACTCTACTCTTGAGGCATTTGCTCTTTATAACTACTAATTTGGAGATTAATTAATACGTAGTTAAATATTGTTATGTCGCCAAAATACTATCAAGAAGCATGATATAGGTAATTGTAGATAAAATTTATTTAAGCTCGTGTTTACATCAAACTAATGAGCAGGGGCGGGGCTACAGTAGGGGGTGCGGGTTCGGGCGAGACCAGTGACTTTTTCCGGAACACTGTATTTGTATTGAAATATTTACTAAATCTATATAAATATATACTGTCAAACCCAGTAACAAAAGGGGTCTTGGTTCAACGGTAAGGGTTGTGGGTTTGTTGGGAAAGATGGGGGTTCGATTCGTAAAATTTAGAATTCACACACTTCAAATCCTAGCTCCGCCTCTGCTAATGAGAGCAAGTTATGTCTTTCGTGCAGTCATTTAATAGTATCATTTAAATATAGTTAGGTGATTTATATTCTTGCTTTAATTTAACTCCGTCCATTCAATTTTACTTGTTCTGTATTCTAAAAATAGATTTTCACTTTTATTTGTCACTTTTAGCATACTAAGAGAAGACAATTTATTTTTTCAGTTATACCCACAATATTAATTACTCATTTCAAATAATTTTCTCAAATTCATTAAAAATATGTATCAATTAATATGGGTATCATGGTAAATTATGCAGTTCATTTATTATTTCTTAAGGGGTGTGCAAAATTCATAGTGGACAAGTAAAAGTGAACAGAAGAAGTACTAACTATCAAGATTAAATTGCATATGTTGGTGTAAATACTAGGTAAAGATAAATTTTTACCTTAATTATATTGCATGAGTCCAAGTCCTAAACAATGGAAAATCACCTCTAAAAGCCTCTTTAATTTTGGTTCTTGAGCCTATAATTAAAAGGGGACCCGAGGGGGTGTTTGATAAGTGGAAATGTTTACAACATAAAAATCTTAATCTCGCTTTCCTTTCCCATATATATTTTTCATAGAGGAAATTGATATAAGGGGACTGTTTTTTTACCTAATTAGTTGAAGAGTTCAATTTATGTGAGTTGATAGTGTATAGTTTTCTTACTTTATCGGGTTAAAATAACATTTACAATAGGTAACTGTGTGTTATAAGCCGTTTTTGATAATTGACTTACGTACTATAATTGGCTAAAATACATCAATAACACATTTTTTCATTAATTGTAATTCTAGGCACTGATGATCAATATCCAAAGCTATATCAATAAGATGATCATCGTCGTATCTGTTGACGAAAGTGCTATTCCTGATCCACAACAGCTGCTTGATGATTTCGAAACTTCTTTTAACCTCATAAGAGATGCTGTGATTGAAAGAGGGCTTGTCAAGAATCTGAAATGAACAGGAAATCCAACCAAAAAAGGTTATATGAACATTATTTATATTATGTTTTAGAACTTTGCATTCACCAGCTATTATGTATTGCAACTAATTCTCTCCACTATTATATTCCTTTTAATTTGATAACGAAGACATAGTACTATAGTTTTTTTATGAGAGTGCATTTAAGTTAATTTTATTTATATCGATATATTTCTATAAGTGTAAACTCTCTATTTTTCTGAATTTACTGAAGGTTGATGTTTGGAAAATCACACACATTAGACGACTCTTACCCATGGCCAAACCAGTGTGGCACCTATTTGCTTGACTTGAAATATCTATAGTTGAACTATGTTAAATAATATTTATATATTTATACGAAATCAACATGCGCTCGGCCAAAACGAATAATAACCGCTAAATCATTGACCCAAAATCTTGTAACCAAAAAAAAAAAAAAAAGAAACTCACC